TGTTTCCAGTATGGGATGAATAAAGGGTCTTATTTGTTGCGTTGTCTATTGTTCTCACATTACAAAGAGTGATGAAAAATAAGTCAAAATGGCTCAAAATTGGCAAAATGAATGGTAAATTGGGCATATTTTGATTGCCTTAAAACAAGATCTGCCAATTGAACCAGCAAAAGTACCTTGCTTTCAATAGACGCAAGAAATATTGTAGCAATTTGCTTATCTTTTCTGCGACACCAGAGCTTTAAACGCTTTAAAAAGGTCGCGAGAGGAGATTGTCAAATCAGCGGGGAGAAATAAACACAGGTACGGTACATGCATTTGGCCCAAAACCGGCGATTTATTACTGATCCAGTTTCACTATGACAGGCCAACATCCCCCCACACTCAAGCGCGATCCTACACAATAAATCAAAATACGTTCACAAACGAACAACAGTGGTGCTCTCAATATGTGAAAACAAAAACAGAAAGAGTCAGTGTCAGTGGTGAAGCTACGGTTCGACCCACGGCCCCGCGCATGCACCATGGTCCACCAAAACAGGTCCTGGAGCCCAGCAGTGACCATGGAGGGATAATCCACAGAGTCTCGTTAGATCCCAAAAATCACGATAATCCAAAAACGAAATCACTCCAACAGAGATTATAATCCGCGGAAACGGCTCCTCCAGGTAAGGGTGCTGGCCCTGCTCCAAGTCGGCATCTGACGTCAGACCATGCGCGCCCGACACTCTCAAATAAAATCCCGCAATAGACAATCAATCGACAATAATAATAATTGACAACAAACGTAAATGACACAGAACAGACCTGGTCCGCATGATTGATTGGTTGTAAAATAAAAAATTTCACCCCTCCTGAGTGAACAATAAGGTAAGGACCTGTGTGAGCGTTACAATATCTCCCTTGGAATGAGAAAATAAAGCAACAGTTCTAGAATTGAGACTAAATGACTTTGAATTGTTGGCAAATCTTGTTTCAGAATGTGCTCAGATTCAGATAATTTATTTATAAAATGATCATTTTCTGCAGTGTACAGTTGGTCTTACAGAATAGGATTTACACAGTGTCGCAGACGTTATAAAAGTCTAGTTCACCGGAGTGATGGATATGCCCTTCGAGAAGTGAATTCTTTTGATTTACACTTGGTTAGTCCTTGCTCAAAGGGTCACTGTTGCATTCCGTCAACATTGTTAGGAATAGATTTAAAAGAACTGAACCAATCCCTGTCGATGCAGGAGGGTCTCAGGACAGTGTTGATGGTACAGGACATTTAAGAACATTTATGGACATTTATCATCGCCCATTATGTATTTGTTTTACTGCATGTCCTATGTTTGAACTGTTTGATTCTCTGTCATTGTGAAGGAAATCAACAACTTTGTAAAGTCCTCCTCAACGACTGTAAGAGGACGTTTATTTGTCTCGGTTCATACGAACAAACATTTCCTTATGATACATTTATTCATAAAGGGTACTTTCAAAATGTGGATTTATCAAGGCTTTGGACTTCAACAAAGAAAGTATTGGTGACTCCTGGTGGCGGTGTTGAAAATTACAATATCACACAATCACAAAAAAAAGTCAAAGTGCCAAAAGGTGCCTTAGTTGCCGACGACTGCTGTGATTTAGAACTGTACAATAAATGTTTGTATTTAAGTCAAACCGAATGGAAATTACGATTAGAAAAACACATTCAGAACTGTTTTTTTTCCCCATTTATCGGAGCCCTTGTGTGTTCAATATGATTCAAAACTTGTTATTTTGCTAGAATGAGTGTTGAGAATGTCTGTAGTAGTGCGTCCCAATGTTCCCACTTTGGTAGTTGTGTGTATTTTTCCTGCAGCCGGTAATGGAGGTTGGTTCTCCCTTAAACAGGGCGTGCAGTGGACAATAGGATTCTGTTATTGTGGAGTAGATTAATGATTTCAGCTTCAGGATCGCCAAGTTACTGCTGACCACAAAAGACATCCACACCATAAATCATACAAACTTCCTCTCTCCACGCATTGTTTAGTAACTACCCAAACAGAAGACCCAATTAGGGCGAGCAACAATGGATATATCACGGCTGATAGAGGCTCTTTTGCAAACAATAGGGCTGGAAAGCGGAAGTGCGAGATTTTGCGAGATTTCCACCCGTGGATACAAACAAACCACACGTGCCACTTGTATGGTGCGGAGATCGCCGACTTCTTCCTCGTTAATGGACTTTCCTGTGTTATTTTGGACACATTTCGTGTCTGGGACAGAAAAACTGAGTGAACGGTCGGAATTAGCTGTGAACTGGCCATGTGCTGACGTTTCCATGTGACGGGGAGATGAGAAAGGTGCAGGGCCGTGTTCAAACATACAGTCTATGGTTCAAACTCATTGTATTTTAATCCACTATCACGCATCAGAAAGAAAATATAGAAACACTATTCCTATGCAAATAAATTGATGTTGTCCCTTACAGCTATCTTTGCTGCTTTGGTTATAAGCCAATGTATATGAATGATCAGTTTTATATCCGTTCATCAGCTCCATCTCCACTTCACACTCACTGCAGCTTCACATTGGGCCTTTTTCCTTTTTGCTGTTCAGTCAAAAATAATATGATGTAGTTGGGTTACCTATTCATTTAATACGAATGATTGTCCGTTTTCTGTTATATTTGAACATTTGTTAAATGTTATTTAATACGTGTTAATATGTTCCTCCTTTATCTCTAAAATAAATAAATGTTTGAGAGACAATGTTTATCCTGTGTGACATCAATAAAGTTTCTTATCTTAAAATACAAGCCACTATTAAAGGCTTGGCCGCACACTATTACAGGTTAGCATTAGCTACAAGTTAGCTTGAATACATGTTCAAGTTAACTGTCTCTGAAATCAGACACAATATTTTATCAGAACTGCATAGCTTTTCCCACAGCTTCAGTTGGTCTTTGGGAAACCTAAAGAATGAGCATGTGTCGCGTAAACTTTGATGATAACAGCCGAAAACAAAGCAGAGCATTATGCACCATTCACTTAAACCGCCTCTTCGAACAGCTGACGGTTTGTTTGTATCCGAGCAATGAACCGGAAGTGCTTCTGGGACGAGACTTTCCAGCCCTATTGGTAAGTTTTGGATTTTAGCTAAAGATTTAACATGGGATCGTCTCCATGGAGATGCAGTGAGATGGCAGTGAGAGTCAGGGCCAGTCAGTAGAAATATGTACACAAAGCAGAATTTATCATAATTGTTTACACTTTTTAAGATAGCAAGGTGAGAAAAAACGAAAATCCTATATCCTACTTCAGTGGCACTTTTAAACAAAAACAAAAATAACAAATAAATAATGAATGCACTTTAAAACTGTATGGCGCATTTTTGGTATAATTTTTGGTATAATTTTTTCGGGTGGCACGGTGGCTGAGTGGATAGCACTCAAGAAGGTCCTATAGTTCGAATTCCGGTCGGGTCAGGGCCTCTCTGAGTGGAGTTTGCAGTTTCTCCCCGGGTCTGCGTAGGTTTCCTCCGGGTGCTCCGGTTTCCCCTAGCACTAAAATCACGTACTTTAGGTCTGGCATGTCGTCCCCGCTCTCTGTGTGGAGTGAGAGACAAATGCCCACAATTGTAAACCGGTCTGTGAAAGGCAGCACAGTGACTGAGTGGGTAACTCTCTCGCCTCTCAGCAAGAAGATCCTGGGTTCCGAATCCCGGTTGGAACGGAGTCTTTCTGAGTCGAGTTTGCATGTTCTCCCCGTGCTTGCATAGGTTTCCTCTGAGTACTCCAGTTTCCCCTACCACTAAAAACATGCTCACTAGGTCAAATCCTCCAGCTCCGGTAGTCCGGACCAAGCCGAGCATCAACATCTGGAAATGGGTTCCCGGGCGCTGTTACTACGGCGGCCACTGCTCCTGACGTAAGCCTTAGCGGGCATCAGGATCTGGGTCAAATGCAGAGAATGAATTGTCCTACGGCTATCAGTAAAGTGCACCTTTATCTTTACCTTTATCTTATAAATAAAAATTACTTACTTAATTTTTTTTTTCAAACCAAGAGCCTACCATTTATTTTGATGCTGAATTGATTAGTGCTTCAAAGCACTAATGCCCTTTCCTGTAATGTTCCTTTTTATTTATTTTTTTCATTCCTGCAGATTTGTGACCATAGAGACCATGGTCTCTATGGTCACTGTGGTCTATGGTCTATGGTCACTGTGGTCTATGGTCACTGTGGTCTATGGTCACTATGGTCTCTCTTTGGTCTCTCTCTGGTCTCTCTCTCTGGTCTCTCTCTCACGCTCTCTCTTTGTTTGACAGGTGAAAACAGTCCAATTGTGATCCAACCTCAATCTGCAAACGGCTCCGGCCCCAGCGCCCCCAGTGGCCCCCCCATTATTGCTTTGCCAGATAAATGACCCCTCATCCCCCCCCCCTCCCTCCCTCTCCTCCCTCTCCCCCCCTCCCGGGTTTTAAAAGGACCAAAGGTTTGGACTGACCATGGCTCCATTGGGCCCAGCACTGACCCCTGTGGCCCCCCAGGCTAAAGTCTACATACGCCCACTTCCTCCTCAGTCACTGTAGCTCCGCCCACACTGACACCAGGACCCTCCCCTCACAGAACTATGGCCTTCTACACGGAGCTCTAGAGCCTTTTCTGGCTTTTTAAACTCATGCATCGTCTCCGAGTGAGTTCTGAGCGTATGTTCTAAAACAGTCTTTGATCTTTAACACTTTTTATCAGATAAACTCATCACTTTATCACTTATTTTAAATCATTTTAGAGCTGAGCAATTTACTGATGTTAAATTGGGTGTGCCTGTAAACAGATGGACAATGCTAGCCTGCTAGCTCAACGCTAACCCACTAGCTCAGTGACGTTAGTGTGACATCACCGTTTTGGGCTTGAGTCTGTGGTTTCTCTGAGATTCTGTGTTTTTATGTGATCCTGTAAATCCACATATGACCAAATAAGGACTGGCCAATCAGAGGCCTTCATTCATTTGGGGGTAAAACTCCAGTTTGCCTTAGTAACTGGCACAGGCCTCCCTCCTGACCGGGGGACACAGGCCTCCCCCCCTCCCTCCTGACCGGGGGACACAGGCCTCCCCCCCCTCCCTCCTGACCGGGGGACACAGGCCTCCCCCCTCCCTCCTGACCAGGGGACACAGGCCTCCCCCCTCCCTCCTGACCAGGGGACACAGGCCTCCCCCCTCCCTCCTGACCAGGGGACACAGGCCTCCCCCCTCCCTCCTGACCAGGGGACACAGGCCTCCCCCCTCCCTCCTGACCAGGGGACACAGCCCCCCCTCGTTTACAAGCCGCTCTGAATGTGCCATTATATAATTCATGAATAATCTTTGATGTTGGGGAAATGGAAAAAAACAGTTTGTTTTGCACTTTATCTGATGGTTTTAAAGCACTTTGACTTTATGCAAATGACAACATGGAAACATAATAAAGATTTACATACGCACAGACTCTCAGGCCTCCCTCTGCTCTCTCTCTGCTCTCTGGTTTCTTGTCTCTCTCGTCTCTCTCTCTGCTCTCTCTCTGCTCTCTGGTTTCTTGTCTCTCTCGTCTCTCTCTCTGGTCTCTCTCTGCTCTCTGGTTTCTTGTCTCTCTCTGCTCTCTCTCTGCTCTCTCTGGTCTCTCTCTCTGGTCTCTCTCTCTCTGGTCTCTCTCTCTGGTCTCTCTCTGGTTTCTTGTCTCTCTCTGCTCTCTCTGGTCTCTCTCTCTCTGGTCTCTCTCTCTGGTCTCTTTGGTCTCTCTCTGGTCTCTTTGGTCTCTCTCTGGTCTCTCTTGTATCTCTCTGGTATCTCTCTCTGGTCTCTCTGGTCTCAAAGGGAACTGAACACATCTGCACTGGGTTAATATTTATCTGTATATTTTGAATAAAGAACAAAAATACATTGTACCTGTTATTAAATTTTTATTCTAATCCAACTGAACAAGTGTTTTAATTTCACAGTGCCACAAAATGTATATACTGTATAGACAAATGTATCTGGTCTCTCTCTCTCTGGTCTCTCTCTGGTCTTTCTCTGGTCTTTCTCTGCTCTCTCTCTCTGGTCTCTCTTGTCTCTCTCTGGTCTCTCTCTGGTCTCTCTCTCTCTGGTCTCTCTCTCTGGTCTCCCTCTGGTCTCTCCCTGGTCTCCCTCTGGTGTCTCTCTCTGGTCTCCCTCTACTCTTCCTCTGGTCTCTCTCTCTGGTCTCTCTCTGGTCTCTCTCTGATCTCTCTGGTCTCTCTCTCTGGTCTCTTTGGTCTCTCTTTGGTCTCTCTCTGGTCTCTCTTGTATCTCTTTGGTCTCTCTCTGGTCTCAAAGGGAACTGAACACATCTGCACTGGGTTAATATTTATCTGTATATTTTGTAACAAAAATACATTGTACCGTATGGACGAACCCTACAGCAAATTACTCTTTAGACAATAAAGTTTCTCAAAAAAAAATTCCTTTCAGTGTTTTTTTTTTTTTTAAGTTTGTTTTATTATAAAAAAAAATATTTTTTGTGTGGGTGTTATTTGAGTTGAAAATACAGTTGCATATTCAATGTCATTTGGATCGTTATTTTTTTCTGTTGGAAAAAAAATGAAAAAATCTATTGGCTTCTACCTTCATGCAACCCAATTCAAAAAATAAAACCACACATTTTGTTGGAATACAATACAATTCAAAGCTGTTTTAATTATAACTCAACAACATTTTGAAAGGGTCTGGTCTCCTGCTGTTGAGTCAGAACAGAGCCATTCCAGATTCAACCAGTCTTCCTGAAAATGTGAGACAGGCTTCTTCTCTGACCATGTTCAAACCAAGCTTTTGTTAATCACTTTGAGCTGCCTTTTTAATGACCTGTGCTATACATATAAACCCCCCTTCTTATTCAACTCTTTGGGCTGAGATGCGAAAAAACGGTAAATGATCTTCACGAAGCTTTAGTTTTGAATAACCTCAATTTCTTTTTTGTATCTCATCCCTGCTTCATTCATCAGGTCTCTAAACCGTTTGATGATTATTTTTTTTCTCAGATGCTTGAATAAAATATTGACACCGCAATTTCGCTCCCAGAATGCTTTGCCGGTATCTTTTCATCCTCTGAACGCTGACCCAATCATGTACGTGTCATCGCCGGCAGAATGGCTTTCACTTGCCATTTGATCTGCTCTTCTTTTCTCCGAGCCTCGCCATTATCCCACCAGCGTTGTTCCGTCTTCTTTTCATTCTCGGGCCACACAAACACACACTGTACCGTATCGTACCGTGCCGAGAGGAGAGGCATAATTAACGTATCCAGGCCAGAAGTCCCAATCCCCATCACTGGAATCCATAGCTCTAATGCCAATGTACAGCGGCAAGATTGTCGGGCGGGAATCCACGCCGACGACAACCACAAAGACAGAACGGACGGTTTCTCGTGTTGGTTGGCGGCGAGTGCTAATTGCAAATGCCAAGAGACACAAAGCAGTGACAAAAGGTCTAAGGCGAAACTTTTCACAGCTGCCGTTTTATTTTCCCTTCTCACTTTTTCTGTTTCACTTGTCTTTTCGGCTCCAGGGGTAAACAAAGACCAAAGGCCTAGTGGCAAGAAATCACATTATATAGGAAGCATGTCAGGCCTTAACAGTGAAAGTGTGTGTGTGTGTGTGTGTGCGTGAAAGTGTGTGTGTGTGTGAGTGAACGTGTGTGTGTAAGTGTGTGTTGTCTTGTCTGTATGTATGTTTTAAATTGGACCTAGTCTGTAATAAAGTTGAATTGAATTGTTAAAGTGTGTGTCTCTGTGTGTCTACGTATGTCTGTGTGTGTGTCTCTATGTGTCTTTGTGTGTGTGTGTGAGAGAAAGTGTGTGTATTTGTGTGTGTGTGTGTGTGTGTGAAAGTGTGTCTGTGCATATGTCTCTGTGTGTATGTGTGTGTCTTTGTGTTTGTGTGTGAGTGAAAGTGTGTGTGTGTGTGTGTGTGTTGTCTTGTCTGTCTGTCTGTTTTAAATTGGACCTAGAGTCTGTAATAAAGTTGAATTGAAGTGTTAAAGTGTGTGTCTCTGTGTATGTCTTTGTGTGTGTATTTGTATGTGTCTTTGTGTTTGTGTGTGAAAGTGTGTCTATGTGTGAAAGTGTGTCTGTGCATATGTCTCTGTGTGTCTGTGTGTGTCTCTGTGTTTGTGTGTGAGAGAAAGTGTGTGTGTGTTGTCTTGTCTGTCTTTATGTTTTAAATTGGACCTAGAGTCTGTAATAAAGTTGAATTGAATTGAATTGTTAAAGTGTGTGTCTCTGTGTATGTCTTTGTGTGTGTATTTGTATGTGTCTTTGTGTGTGTGTGAAAGTGTGTCTATGTATGAAAGTGTGTCTGTGCATATGTCTCTGTATGTATGTGTGTGTGTCTCTGTATTTTTGTGTGTGTGCGTGAGCTTTCTACTCCCCGTTTACCTTCTAATGTGCAGCTGTCATGTCAGGGCATTAAAAAGCATGAAAAGGATTTATCAGCTTCAAACTAAAATTGGACGAATGTGTCGTGGAGATATATTTGCCGTTCGCCGAGAGGATGTAATCACGAGCAAAGCTAAGAAGTGTCAACGCATTAATCGGCAAACAGTCACTATTCCTTCTCTCACAACAAAACTAACGTATTAGTCGGGTCCTTTTCTGGTCCTTGATTCGTCCTCTGTAAATATTTTGTTTCCACTGTCTACGTATTGTCAATTACCAAAATTATACATGTTATTCAACGCATTTGTGTATCCTTACATCACAACAGCAGTCTGCTTAGGGGTCTACACCAATTTACCAACAACAGTTTGGAGAATCATCAAATTAGAACACAGGAAATGCAAACTTCAGATTCATATCATTTGCCATTTGCAGTGAAACCGCACTGGAATACGTTTTCAAAGGCCCCCAGTGTGCATCAGACAAGTACAGAGATAAAAAAAAGATTTAAAAAAAGGCTGGAAACCATTGACGCTGTGAAATTGATCAACTAAAACCATTTAAAGACACACAAATACGCCGTCGGTTCATCGGTTTCAGCGGGATGACCAATGTCCATACATAACCTGGATTGTCGCTGTCCTTTTAAACCCTCCTCGATGTTGGTTTCTACCGTCGGTTAAAGCTCGGTATTCCCAAATCTGCAGCTCACAGAAAACAAAAGTCCCCAAAATGACGAGCATATGCCGCCCGTTGCCAAAACCCTGAGCCATCCATCTCTCCACGACTACAGTTGCCGGAGGAGTGCTAAGCGATCATCCGCGATACCCTCCGTGTTCCGTCGCAGATTAATTTCATGCAAGACATTCATCAACCAGATGTTTCCTTCCAATGAGTCCTGGAGGAAGTACCTGTGCTAATAAATGGGGTTTTATCATTCGTGAAGGATTAGTTTGAGTGCGGCAGAGGAAGCAGTGCACTGTAATATGCATAAACTTAGGTCGTTTCAATGTTTTCAATTCTCTGCTTGTACTTTTGTGGCAAATGTAACCTTTCCGTTTTAATTTTTTTTTAAATTATTAGGATTTTAGGCACCCTTGGCTGAGTGGTTAGCAGTCTCGCTTCTCAGCAAGAATATCCTGGGTTTGAATCCTGATCACAACAGGGCCTTTCTGAGTGGAGTATATGTTTTCACCGTGTCTGTGTAAGTTTCCTCTGGGTGCTCCGGTTATCCCTTTCACTGAAACAAGCCTAATAGGTCGGGCCTGTTAACCACTCAGCCATACGTGTGCCTAAAATCTTAATTCTAAACAATTTTAAAACGGAAAGGTTACATTTGCCACAAAAGTGGCAACAGCAATTGTAAAGCTCTTTGTGACTTAGGCGCTATATAAATAATGACTACTACTTCTTGCAGTAAAACACTAACACGTGTTGGGCGTGACATGTTAAAAAACTACATTTTTTCGGGAAAAAGTTAAGCAACGGGTTTACTAACGACAAACCTAGTAACATGACGGTTTCTTTTTCAATCTTTACATTAATCTTTACATTACAACATTACTTTTTCTTAATAATGGCAGCTGTGACCGAGACTTGGGCTCAGTTCTCATTCCACAGTATGTACTTTTATTTATACAGTGCCTTTTCACAGACCAAGGCCACACAAAGCACTTTATAATGTTCAGAGTTCAGATATCTTTCCATTCACACTGGTCCATCAAAACCCCGACCAACGCCATCCATTCACTTGTTACATCCTGACTTCATGTGTTAGGGGAAACTGGAGCACCTGGAGGAAAGTTTCTCTCTATAGTGAGTAACTTAGTAAAGTAAAAAGTTACTTTATTAAAAGAAGTAGCCAGTAACGAGAAGTTAATTTTAAAACTTCCAGCACTGATTGTGACGCTTTTGTGGA